AGGTTTTTTTACAAAGTGTTTACAATATCAGTTTGTTTTGACAATACTGTGACTGTACATCATTTTTGACATAAGGAAATTGTGCTGGAAACATCAGTACCCATAAAACATTTAGAAGAAAGTTAATATATCAAAATTAAGTGTAAATAATTTAAAAATCCAAATCTGATATTTCAACTGTGTAAATACATTGAATCTGCAACACACTGGTGAACATGTCATTTTCAAGCACAGCTTTGATTATACAAAATGTAAATGAAGATATTTGAAGTACAAACCAGGGCAAGCAAGAGGAATATTTTACTCATAAAACTAACAATCACAAAAACAACTGGTAAAATAAATGGTAAGTGATTATCAGAAAAAGCAAGCAACTCCCAGATTTGCCAGCGATTTCATACCTGGTGTGATCAAATATTCAGATTTCTAAACACATAACAGGGAGGAAGGGAAGTTCATTCCCTGCAAAGTGAGATAAACTAGGATTCAAGTTAGAGTAGATTCAGCAGATTTCGGCATCGCATCAGATGTTTAAGGCTGAAAACAATGGTAGGGATAAGCCCAGCTACTGTCTTTTTTTTGTCCAATAGGTCTCGGAGTGCTGTGTGCAAGGCACAGATCTTACTTTGGCACTTGACCATCTGCAGCTGCTTCACTCTAGCCCCTAGTGAGTTAGTGTCCATGAAGTCCATCTTAATGAAGTAGAGGAAAGGATCTTCAGGAATATAAAAGATTTACCCTGCTTAGCATGGAGCTGTGTGCAATGTGAAATACAGAGCAAGTAGTGCATGTACTGATATTTGCAAGGATCTCTGGTTTAAACAGCCCTGTCTAAGAGACTGTGAACTGTGTTTGGAGCTGGTGGGGAGCTCTGAGCACTGCAGAGTGCGGTCATCTTGCCGCTGGTTGTTCCTTTAGGAAAAATGCGAAGGCCTTTTTACCTATTTATTTCTGCTTCCTTTGAGCTTTGGGTTTACTGGTATGCGAAAGGAAAAAAAAAAAAAAAAAAAAACAAGCATATGTTCCGTTGCTCAATCAACCTTTTCTCAATCCACACTCGGTGATCTCAGTGAGTCATTACGGCATAATTACAATTTGAGTGTGATATGCTGTTTGTAGAAAAGTATCTATTTTTAGCTGAAGAAACACGACAGTCCCTGAAAGGAGGAGAAAGAAAGAAAAAGAGGAAGGAAGAAAATCTGTAACCAGCAAATCAATGCTATTGTTAACTGATATTACGAGACACCCTGTAGATTTACAATGCTTGCATTCAGCCACATAAAAACTGCACTGAAAAGAATGCCTACCAGGGGTTAAATTCATATGCCTGCGCTGCAGCCTATTTCTGTCAACACTCAGCTCAGGAAATAAACATTTATGCTTTCTGAAATGAAAGTGTATTTTTGAAGACTAGCCGTCAGATATTTTTTGCCCTTCACACTTTCAAATGCTTAGCCTTTTTTGTAAGTTGACTGCAAAGTGCATCAGTTTTCAAGGCAAAAAGAGAAAAAAAAAATCTTGACAAGTGCCCATGGCATCATTGTCAAGCACACAAGCGTCTAGTAAAAGATGGCAGGAGGGTTGGCACAAAACATGCTTCCTTCAAGCCTCTTACCTCAGGGGTACCTGACTCTTGAGAAGCCTTTCAATCCTTCCAAATGACGTTATTGCAAACTGTCATCTGGTTTATTTGGAGTGTGCTGTATCGCAGATAAACACGCTATTTAACTGCAGGTCAAGGTACAGAGTCATTCTGCTAGCAAATGCCTGAGATACATTAAATGGCATTGACTTGGGGAGGGAGATGGAGAGAGATCAAAGTTGTCACCAATATGGTACATGCTGAGGGGTAAAAAGGTACACAACATTGTATTTTAAAAAGCCATTATGCATTTCTACATTTAAAACGCTGACCTGCAAGACTCTTAAGGATTAAGGACCCACACAGAGTTCAAAACCACACCATCATGCAGCATCTCATGGAGGATTGGAGAGAGCTTACAGTTGTGACTGGGGAAGCTAATACTAGTCCAGAAGGCTGGAAGGGTATTTCATAGAATTTGGAGACTTTCTAAATAGTTACATTTTAAAATAGGTAATGTTACGTTTTAAAATAGATAATGTCCACTTGTCACAGAACATGATTGATCTAGGGGATTCATATAACAAAAGCTTACAGAATCAGAATACCGTATGGCATGAAATAAGTATAACCTCTTCCAAACAATTAAAAATAAATCTCTGTATGTAAATACATATGCCTATGTAATCTATCCTTTTAACTGTGACTTGCTGAACATCTTTTAAAAGGGCATTGGTGTAATACAAGAGACATGCCGGATGGTTTCACATTTTCTGAAAAATCAAAACAAAACAAAAACAGATTAATTACAACATGATGCAGCTTTACATTCCCATGAGGGATGCCTTTAAAAGTTAAAACATGCTTTCACTGAGCAGGCTTTCAAGGGGAAGTTACTTCAGTCAGGAAGAAATAATCATGTTTATTTGATTTATTATTGGAGAGCAGCACAGCGAGGTTTATATTTGCCAGTTTTTCTATAATGTAAAAAATTTCTTTTGATTTTTTTATGTGTCACATAAAAACAATTAGTATATTTACTGCACCAGAACACAGATTTTTCAAGAGTGCAGTACAATAAATTATAGACAACATGCCATTTTTCCCCCTCACGGGGCATATGTAATTTCCTCTGACTGTGGCACACAATAAATGTTATTGAAACATAGCATTATTTGTTTAAAAAAACCCCAACAAATCTGTGCTAAAATAGATAAGTAAATAAAAGAAGGAAGTTGGGAGTTCTCTAAAGAAAAATAAAGAGAAATTGTAGGTTAAACTTTTTTAATCAAAACTGATTTTATTGCTTTTTGCTTAATTAAACTCCTCAGAAGTGTGTGAAACATTGTTATACCTGAAAAATTGTTAATTTGTAAATCACAGGGACAAAAGGGCTCCACTGCAACTTTAAAGTTTCTATGCACGTAAATGTCAATAGAGTGCCTTCTCCATCATCAGCACTAAATTCACATTGATGCCTCTTTTCTTCTCTGTATTGATCCTTCCATGAGAACGTAGATTTGTATCTGTTAATTAATGCGTCCTGAAACAGCGTTTGTATTAATCAGGCAGATAAGAAAAATTGGATGCCTGCACCCTCATGACAACCGTAAAAGTGCTGGCCCTGATAAAATCGTGGATGGACCTCAATAAAAAAGTTCCTCCTTCCACTCAATAAACTAATCATCCTGCTTTTAATTATTCGGCAGAAAGATGTGTGGAGATTGGAGAATGTGTAAATCTATTTACTAACAGCAGTGTCTGGGAGGGAGAATGGGGCTGTCACAGGACGGTGCTGCAGGCTACGTTCTCTGTCCATCTGCTACTGCAGAAAAACTGGTTCTTGAAAGACGGGAAGGAACAGAAACGTTGAAGCTAATTGAAATCATGAATTCCTCCCTATAACCTTTCAAATGATTATTTCTTCTCCATTTCCCTCTTATTTATTTTAATCACAGATGTGTTATTTTTCATTGTCACCTCTTCAAGGGTTTCCTGTTGTTGTTGGCTCAGTTTTTGTTGGCTTTTTTTGAAGGCAGAGAGCTACAGTTCTATCACAAGACTCAAAAGACAGTAAGCGAAAATGAAAACAAATAAGGAGGGAGAGAAAACTGAGAAAGAGAGCTTGCAGCCAGTTTTATGTTTTATTTTTTATGGATGCCTGGTGGTTTGGATGTGGGGTTTTCTCTTTTATTGTATTACTTTTGCTGCTTAGTGCTTATAGAGAAAATCTTGTTTGGAGTAGACGCCTTGCAGATTTGCTAGTTTATGATATATTCCTGCTTGACTGTAACTTCTGACTTTCAAAACAGAAAAATGCATTTAAGTGTAATTGAACGCCAAAAAGAATGTTCTTACAGCGGGAACCCTGTCAAAGGACATGTAAGCAGCTCCATAAACAACTAAATGAAAGCCTCAGACATGTCTTAAGACCCTTTAAGAAAAGCTTGACTAATCCCCTTTGATGATTTTATTAAGTACTTGTGGTTGATGTTGCCAACTGGCAAACTGCTGCATTTCACCAACAGGCCAGGAAAATCACTTCCTCTCCCATATTGTCTTGTAGCTCGTAATGTGATTGGGATACTAGCAGTTTGATATAATAAATTAACAGGTACTGTAAACAAGAGTCTAAAAAGGTAAGATAGTAAAGATGTTTGCCCTTACTGATCCTATTAGGAAAGACAGCGGGGTGAGGAGAGGGGGGCTGGGGTGGGGAAGCAAAAGTTAAATTAATTAAGAGTAGTTTATTAAATTTTTGGTTGCCTTCAGAAAAAGGATGGTGTGACTGCTATTCAGTTGGCACTTTAATATGCCACACTTATTTCAACAAGTGTAGTAGAGAGGGGAGACATTACAGAAGTAATTAGCATCTTTTCTGAGGAGGGTAGCTGTTACTTCTCATTCCCCTGAGGTTAAAGTTCAAAGAGAATTTTCCTCTTTGTGATAATCACCTTAATTCCATTAAAACATCAAATTTTCCATTTTAGAAAAAGTTTTTTTTTCCCTCCCCTGAATTATCCATCTTGTTTTATGGTAATGAAGAACAGAGTCATCAGATCACTGTTTCACAGCATCAGGTTTTAGAACTAAGCATGAGTATTTCTGAAGAAAGAAGACATCATACCAATCACAGATTATCACTGCAATACCCCCCAAATTAATATGATTCTTACAGAAAGAGCCTGCAAATTCCAAATTTTTTATAACTTCATACATTGATTAGAAAACGTTTGCTTTTATATTGTTTCACTTTCCTGTAGTACGCTGGGGAGGAGAAGCACAAAAGCAGAAATGAGAATAATAGAGTACGTGCATGTTTTGTCACAATGTGTATAAAAATAAAACAAAAAGAGGAGCAGATTTCTGGCAAATCCAAACATGCTTAATATTTTTCCTGTATTTTTTTCCTATTCAGGATTCTCCACTTTGTCTCTAGCTGACCAGATGAGCCTTCTGCAGAGTGCTTGGATGGAGATTTTGATTCTCGGTGTTGTATACCGGTCACTTTCTTTTGAGGACGAGCTCGTATATGCTGAAGATTATATTATGGATGAAGACCAATCCAAATTGGCAGGCCTTCTTGACCTTAACAATGCCATACTGCAGCTGGTGAAGAAATACAAGAGCATGAAGCTGGAGAAGGAAGAGTTTGTCACCCTCAAAGCTATAGCACTTGCTAATTCAGGTTGGCAGAGTGGCATGATGGTTGCTACATTTTTAATATGTCACTTTTCTTTATTTCTCCATAATACTTTCTGCATGCTTGTTTTAAACACTGTTCTAGAATAAGACATTGCTAATCAGACTTTAGTCTAAAAGGCAACAAACAAGGCAGTTGAAACTAAGAAGAGCTTTCTGCTTCTACGTAATTGTGGAATAAATTCCTAAGGGAGTGGAGAATGCTGCACTGTATGATTTGGAGAGTATTTTACAGGCAAAGATCCTTTCACATGAATATAGATGTTGTTGTCCTAAATCCATCCCATAATCCAGGCGAGTCTAATCATTGCAATTAAAATGAACAGAAAGGATGCATGAGAATATGCTGTATATGTTCTCTTTAAAAGCAGCTACTGATTCATTTGATAGGGTGCTTTGAGGACATGGGATGAGGGAGGAAATTATTATTTAATCTCACAAGGACCGCACCTTACCTTACGGATCCTCTGCGTTTATGAGAATGCTTCTGCAAAAATTATGACCTGTGCAGCCAGGGTTAAAAATCTCAGAAAGAAATTTTTTTCTGCATTTGAATTTAAAAGTGCTGAAGCAGTGAATACTGTCAGATAAGTAAAAATCGTTTGTGCTTTGTTGTTTTTCCTTTTGTGTCTCCTTAATGCTTTATTGTGGTCTTAAGTCCCTTTTAGCATTTGCATAAAGTTCACGATAGATCCCTCTTTAATGACGTGCCGATCATTAGATACCTGTGTGTCAATAACATGCTCTGATGCTATGTTCCATTGACAGTCACACCGTGCCCCTCCATCTGCTTTTGTTTTGACCCTATCTTTGAACTTTATCTTGGTTGCTGGCCAGTAGTTTTCCCTTTAATTACAAGAAGGAAACTGTCAATAAAATCTGTTAAATGGGATGCAATGAGTGGCTTGAATGGGCGGATGGCTATTTGTTCAAATTCTGCAGCATTCAAGGTATTGACAGTTTGTTTTCTGGGGCCATATGTGACGATCAATCTCAGGCTGGGCTCAGCCGCGCTGAAAAATGAAAAACCAGATTGCTTTTGCTTACTTGTGGATGACGACTTGTGATTTGGCGCGGTCCTAGTGAGATGAGACCTTCTGCCCAAATTGCCCCCCTGAGAGCCAGGACGCGTGACTGTTTTTAGAAATAATTTTTTAATTGATTTTGTAATTAACAGTTCATCTACAATATTGATGCATGAATCCTCAGATTGATAGGAGGGAAATTGTTTTCAACAATGAAGTTGTACTTTCCTATTTGTCTTTGTAATGTGATTTAGCACTCTGCATTTTTAATTGGAAATATAATTCAAAAACATGCAAAGCCAAAATGCTTATTAGTTTCTTTGTAAAATATTCTCCACCCCACTAACTCTGCCCTTAGTTATAGAATATTATCTTGTTTCCAGAGTAAACAAAATGCTGAAATGCCTCTCAGAGATCAAAATTATTTTTAATTGAAGATTTATTTATAATTTTTGACCATTGTAAATAGACACTTGAGAATGCTTCGCAGCTACAAGAAGGATTTTTCTCAAAATCGGTCATGCTTAATGAACAGAGCAAGAAAGTTATCTGGAATTAAGAGTCTAAATAGAGAAAGGTTTTTTTGTATTTATTTTGATTCTGCAATTCAAAGACTGAATTAGAAATATTTTGACAGTTTACATGATAAAAAGGATAAGGGGCTAAAATATAGGGATATGGTGTTAAATACCACTCAAATTTTTTTTCCCCCCCCAAAAAAAGACATACCGTGTTTGAGTAATAATAAAAGATACTCCTGCCAGAAAAAGTTTAGTCATACATTGTGCATAGAGTGTATCAAAATCATCTGTAGCTTCATTAACTTCCCTGGGAATTACAACCAGGGTAATGTCAGAGATAAATACCATTCAGCATACTAAAATTCAGGGCACATTTAAGTGAAAACATTTCCTTCCCTCAGCTTGGAAGAAATAAAATTGCTGTTTTAAGATGAAACTGTTGCAAGGAGCAATTAAAAAGCAGCCCAGCCATTTGACTTCTCTTTCAACAGAATGTTTTGACTGCTGACACTCAACGTTTCAACTTCAGGTTGTACAGGCAACAGATACCAAACTTTTATCAGCTGTAGCTACCCTAACCTGTAGGTGTAAAATAGGTGCAGAATTATAGCCCATCAAAGAATATCAGACCCCTAGTGTTTTAATTTACAAATACTTCTAAAAGTAAAGTAAAATTATAATTAAAGTTTTTGTCTTTTTTAATAGACAAAACCAGAAATAGCTTATTTTCACATAACTATGAACTTAATTAACGTAAATGCAACTATATGCAAAAAAAAAATAAATACAATGCCATTATAAAATCTATCAGTTAGCAATTCGCATTTTAATATATTTTGTTGCTACATTTTCTTTCTTCCAAAACTTCAACTATTTATTTTTCCTGTTTACAATATATTAGCCTTTTTATAGCTGTAGAGAGAATGGGTGAAGCATAATAAGAAATCTTAGGTGTTTCAGGCATTTTTGCCATATCCACATTGTCTAGAAAGATTCCCAGGTTGACTCTACTGTAAACAGTAGACAAAGATGGTTTTATAGTTCTGCATCTGTGTTAGTGATTTATGATACAGTGTCATAGTACTTTCCCTGCTGGTGTATAGAAGCAGCAAAAAGAAATTGTAGATTGTCTTCATATTGATTGCATTTTGTTTGAATAAATACCACAAGCTTTGTTTGGGCCAACAAACCCCAGTATTGTGAACATTAAAACACCCCAACTGCTCACTTTTCTTTAGGCCTACGGAATCTACTTGGGCAGTACTTGATCTGAAATAATCCTGTCATTTGGTTTCTAAAAGGTGGGGAGGAGGAGCTGTTTTTCAGGGAGATTCTGTGATAGCCCTTATCAAATGTTCCCTTTTCAGGGTTGGCCACTGCTGCGCCGCCGCTCCTATAAATTTCCAGAAACGCAAGATGTACCAACCTTGTAGATTGTCACTGATTTCAAATGAAGTGCATATAGCATCTGAAATGTTTAAATACATATATAAGAGCACAACACTGAAATGCATAGACATTTCAGTCCTGTGTACATTAAAATCTATACAGGCATGATCTCAACAGTTATGTTTAGTATCTAGTGCCTAATATGGAATTTATCAGGTTAGTTTTAAACATCTGCATTGGTTCAACAGCAATTAATATAGCCTTTATGCTGCTTCAACTCCAGAGCAGTGCCTCTCACCATGGCATTGCCCTTGTCCTGTCCATACCATGAGTGCCTTCCTCCTTTCTCTACCTTCTCTACACAAAAGCAAGTAGGCACCTTGGGGCTGCAGGATGCAACTGCCCTGAGTTCCACCTCACACTGCCCCAACGAAGCAAGCTGGCACCAATGAGTACTTTGTTTACCCACACAGAAAATCAACTTTGAATAGTTTCCAAAACATGCATGTACCAATTACTTCCTCGTGTGTAAGGGAAGGTGAAATATTTACAGAATATGTTTGAAGTGTACACAAGCGCGCACAGGCACATGTGAACACTCTAACACAGAAAAGATGGCCTGATTGTCTGTTTTGTATTAGAAAATGCTTTCATGTATTGATTAGGTAATACTAAACAGGGAGTTGCAGGTGAGCAGTTTTTTGAAATTGCCTAATCAGTAAGGACTAAATTATGCCTTCGGGCCAGATGTTGCAGAAGAGTTTAGGAGTCATAACTGAGACCAGATTTTTAAGAGAAGATCAGTTCCCATCTAAGATGTAACATAAGGAACTAGAGTGTCAAAATACATTAGCACATTTGAAAATCTGATCCGTGTGTACCTGCCTAATAGGCTGCTGGCATCTTGCAAAATCTGACCCAAATGTGGATGCTAGGCACTGAAAAGTATAAACCTGAGCACTGTTGAAATTTTAATCTTAAACTAGCTGTGTAATCTTATACTAGCTGTGTAGACTGTACCACCGGAAGGAGGAAAAGACCTGTGCTCACCATCACAATTTCTGGTGTCTCGTATTAACTCTCCTAAAAAAACCCCAGTACCCTTTCAGTACTGAAGGAGTGAGAACCAAGAAGTACCTTGTGCATCTTAGCATTCTGAAGCATAGATCAACATTGATGCCAGTAAAGTTACACGAGTATCTACCCTGGTAAAAAAATTAGTTTGTTCTTACAACTTACTTAACTTTCCAGCCACCAAATGAGTGTACTCAGAGTACTAGGCTATCACCATTAAATAATATTATCATAATAAAAATTAATTGGTAGAACCCTATAAATCACTTATCCACAGAGCATCAACTTTATTCCCAGTATAGACTGTGGCTTATCATATATCACAACATACTATATTTAGTTTCTAATAATGCCACTTCTTTCATTTGGTTTTATTTAGTCATCTTGTTAGAATTAGAATTCATGATTAAAATGTATCTATTGTGAATAGGCATATATAATATATATATACACACACCTGTGTGTTATTGGTGTGTGACCAACATTTATTTTGCCAATGTAAATAGAAAGGTCTGTTAACTATTTCATGTAATTTTATATAGAGAGTGGTACAGTGTAGAAACGAATTTTCAGAAAAGGATGTTGCCACTATAGTCAGAGTTTTCATGTTGCTGGAACACAGTTTCTTCCTTATATTCCATTTTCATGTAATCAAATAGATGGCACCCACAATTCTTACACAAAATAACTAACTCTGCTACCATTTGCTTAATGATAGCAGAATTAATTAATGGTTTAAATTTTTTTTTTCTTCTGCTCCTGATAGTTGGTCTAGGAACTGAATAAATTTGAGGTATTCCTCACCTAGTTATGAAATAGGTGGCTCTTATTTCTGTGCTAGCAGCCTGAGGCTCGGGAAGGGCCCCGTGGCCGGGGGGAGGACGGAGCTGCGGGGCCGAGGGCTCGCTGGGGAGGAAAGCAGCGGTGAGCCCTCGAGCCACCAGTGCCATTGCTCGTCTTTGCTGTTACCCATCCTG